ATGTAGATTGCAAACTAGCAACTGAAATAAACTTCTTCATTATATTGAATTACTGTTCTGCTTCATCTCCCCTATACCCTGCATCCTTCAAGAGCAGCTCCTTCTGGCCAGTGCAAGAAGGATGAACTAAGAAAAGGCACAGCAGCAGGTCTGGAGAGTTAAGAAAGGCCAGTCTGTTGGGATGAAGACAGAATAGAGTAGAGACACATGTCCCCTTTGAGGTAGAAGAATTGAGAGTCCAGGAGACTGTAGAAAATGAGAATGAACTGATACGCATGGGGGAGTGATTAATGGCTCTTTTGTCACTTCGTTTCCCAAAATTTGTATTTTGGTTTTGACATTTTTAAGGTACTTTCCAGGAGCCTTATTTATGTTGAATAGTTCTTTCACTTTCGTTCTTAAATATAATGCATTATTTTTCATAGGCTATAAGTATTTTATAAATAAATTTATCCTTAAAGGCATTTAAACACTTTATAGAAGGAAAAAGTTACAATGTGGACCTGGAGCAATGACTTAGTGGTTGTCCTTGCTGTTCTTCCAGGGGGATCTGGCTCACAACCATCTGTACATGTCCAGAGGATCCTCTGCTCTCTTCTGGCCTCTGTAGGCACTGCATGCAAGTGGTACATTTATATGTGGGCAAAACACTCATAACACATAAAATAAAAATAAATTTAAACTTTTTAAGTTGAAATGTGTGGGAAATGTAAAATGTGTGAGGAATTTGCTGCTTAAGGCTTTATTTCCACAGGAAAGTCAGTCTGAACACCTTAAAATATATAATGGTTATAGAAATGTTTTCATATTGATTTTGGACCACTGCACAGTTTCGATCCATTGACAAAGAGGAGAAAGAAGAATAAAATTTAGCTTCTGAATCAGATAAGATGATTTACTGTTTTCAGGAACTGGCAAGGTACTTAAGTCACCTTGTATGTGTTATGAAGAGCACTAGTGAAAAGAAAAATTATGTATTTTTTCTCATGATCACAACCCTAATTTTAATGCTGATGATTTCTTCTAGCATTAAGAATTCTGGCACTCTGGGGGGTGCGGTGATGGCTCAGTGGGTAAAGTGTTTGTTGCATGAGAGTAAGGACTTGAGTTTGAATCTCCAGCACCTAATGTAAAAGCCAGGTATGTTGCACTAACCGTGCAGTGATAAGAGAATGCATGGAACTAACTGACCCGCCAGTCCACCCATCTCAAACTGTAGGTTCAATGAAAGACCCCTCATCCAAAGATCACTTAGAGAACAACTGAAGAATACAACAACTCCTGCCTTCCACACATGCATTCAAGTACATTCTCACATACCTGTGGACACACAAATATACCACACAAGCATGCGCAAAAGAAATGACGATAAAAAATATAAAGAATTTCTATATTCTCATATATATTCCCTACATTCTCATTCCTGGAATATTAAATTTACTATAAATTAGAAAGAAAACTGTGCAAGGGCTCACAGAATATTAACCCAAAAGCACTGAGGCAGGGAGTTGCAGAACCCCAAGCAGTGGCACTTCCATGCAACCTTTGTTCTCCACACTCACACACTCTTTATAATGGACATTTAGGCCTTCTGGTTTGTCTTATTTCTTTTTTTATTAAATTTTTGTGTATTTTATACAGAACATCTCAATCAGTCTTAATCATCTTTATACCCTCTTCCCCACTGGCACCCTCCCATACCCCCCACCACTGGAATTCATACATTCTGTCATTTGTGTTAAAGCCTATTTCATCAAGTTAGTGTTCCCAGACATTCCTCAGTGCAAGTTCATCAACTGAGGTCTAGTCACTTTAACTAGAGTCCCCTGCTTTAGGAGATCAGCTCTTCCTACCTTAGCAGTAACCAGTTGCCAATTCAGCTAAGATTGGGGTCTGCCGTCCATTTCTCCAGCCCGAGTTCTGTGCTGGGTTTTTGTCTTCTTGAGTTTGCGTGGGACTTGTACAACCACACCATTGTTGTAAATTCTTATGAGCAGGGTCCCAGGAGCTTGTAAGACTTTATTTCCATACAGTGTTGCACCTCCTTCTTGACTCTTACAGTCAGACTCTTTCACAATGGACCCTGAGCCCTGGGTGGGTGAAATTTAATATAGAAGTCCTGTCCAAGAACCAGCACTCTGCAGACTTTTAATCTTTACCCTTTGGCCTTCTGTAACCTTTTATGTTCCTGGTCCTCTGTTGCATGAGGGAGCTTCATTAATGAGAGTTGAGAGACTCATTACTGACCTTTTTACCCCTGTTGTATGTTCTATGAGCATTCGGTATAGAGGTTGCATTGTAGATGTGCCCCTTAGGCCTGGGCACTTCATAGGCAATGTCAGTGTGTGACCAGTTGTGGTACATGGTAATGGTTTCTTTGTGGTGCAAGAATGGTGACTGCAGTACTTGTCTATAAGTACAAGGATACATATGTCGCACGTGGCTGGGGAGGTCATAGATCTTAGCAAAAACCCCAAGACTGTCACATCCCTAGACTAATGTGATTTCTTATTATGTGCAACATATGGACTTTTAGTCCAATTAGGTAGTTATTGGTTGACCCCCAAGTAAAAGTGCCACTTCTGCACCAGTGCTGTGTCTTGTGCCAGTAATCAATGTGGTTGTTTGGTCTTGAAGCTGATGTTGCACTTTGTGGTTGTTTGGTCTTAAAGCTGATGTTGCACTTTCATATTGCTTTCCAAAGCTCTGAGAGGTAGCCTTCAGGGAAAGTTGTTTCAGGTCAGCTCCCACTCTGTTACTCCAAATTCTATGTCTGAAGTATGTTCAGTTTTCGGCAGTAGGGTCTTACCTTAAAGTTATGGGAGACCATCAAGTGCCATGCCAAAAGCCTGAGTAATTTTGGGAGTTTCTTGGACCACCCTTACCAACAACTCAGAGGAAGGTTTCTCCTATCTGGTGCTGTTTCTTGTTATGTAGCCTTTAGCTATACACACGGATTCATGTAGAGATACTGTATGTGTAATTTGTCATTAGGCTGTTGGACTAATATGATTCCTTATGTTTTTTATAAACTAGCTAGGTATTATTTATCTCTCCTTTCTTTCTCCCTGTCTAACCCTTCCACCATGGTTTCCCCATTTTAAATATTCCCATTTTCCCCATTCCTTCCTTGATAATACCAGTCTCCTCTAGTCCCACCTCTCTTGAGTTCCTTCTTTTTCTTTATCCCCAAGTTCCTTATATAATCCTTCCTCCCTTCTCCCATTTAAATATCCCCATTTTTATCCATTTCACCCTTAGTAGCACCTTTCTCCTACTGTTTTTTCTCAGGTTCGTTCTTTCCCTTTACTTCCTGGTTTCTTTTTATTATTCTGGTTCCTGCAGTTACATCTCACATATAAGGATTTGGTGCTAGGATCTGTGTATGAGGGAGAACATGTGTCATTTGTTTTTCTGAGTCTGTGTTACTTCACTTAGTATAACAGTTTCTAGCTCCATCCATTTACCTGCACATTTCAGGATTTCATCTTTCTTTGCTGCTAAGTAAAACTCCATCATATAAATGAACCACATTTTCATCATCCACTCGTCAGTTGAGGGACACTTAGGTTGCTTCCATCTCTTAGCTATTGTGAAAAGAGCAGCAACAAATATGGATGTACAAGTGCCTTTGCAATAGGATGAGTCATTTGGGTATATGCCAAGGAGTGGTATAACCTGGTCATATGGTAGGTTCATATTTACTGTTTTAAGAGTTCTCCATACTGCTCTCCATAGGGCTTACTCATTGCAATCCCCGTGGCAGTGAATGAGCCACGTCCCCACATCCTCTCTAGCATTTAGTTTCATTAGATCTCTTGATCTTAGCCAATCTGACTGGGGTAAGATAAAATCTTAAAATGGTTTTAATTTGCATTTTCTTAATTACTAAACACATTGAACACCTTTTAAGATGTTTCTTTTTTTGAGAACTCTCTGCTCAGCTCCTTAGCCCATCTTTTAGTTGGGTTACTTGCTTTATTGATTCTTTGGTTTTTGAAACCTTTATATATTCTGGATATTAAACCTCTGTCAGATGTGTCACTGGTGAAGATTTTCTCCCACTCTGTGGGTTTTCTCTTCACTTCGTTGGTTGATTCTTTTGCTGTACA